CGTCCTGCCTGCTCTGCCGCACTGTTCCGACCGTGCCACTTCTTTCTGAACTATTCGGTGCTGGATCGCTTTACGACATCAGTATTCTCTACTCTAGCGTATGCTTACGTAGTGGTGAGCTATTCAGGCTAACATTCTGACCATGAGCTCCGTACTGACGTCGGTTTCTACTTCTGCCTCTAAGTTCTCTGACAACTATTCGTGCAATGAATCAACCTACTCGGATCTACTGGAGCGCCTTGGAAAAGAGGAAAGTCTGCCTTCATATGTAAAATTTATTATTGGTGTTTTGGTAGATACTAAAGAGGAACTTTCTGAACTGAATCGCCGCTGTAATGCCATTCTTGTTGAAAATCAAGCTCTCAGGAATGAAAACGATTCCCTGAAATCTCAACTAAGAAGTTTGCTGTCGACGGTTGAAGCGAGTGATTCAAAAGCGGTCTGCTCCTGTCCTTCTCAATCAATTGGTGCTGATGATAGGAAGTCGCCGGAAGTCGATACTGATCTCAAGCGCTCGATAGTCGTCGCGGGTGTTCCGGAAAGTCAACTGCCTGGCTCAGCGGACCGTGTTCGTCATGATCTTCACTGCGTGTCAACCCTCCTCAACTTTCTAGATGTTGAATGTCTCCCTTGTCATGTTTTTCGTATGGGTGTGAAGAGTAGCTCTCAGCCTAGGCTCCTTAAGGTCGTCCTTCCTAGTGGTCGGTTCCAAAGACAAGTGATTAAAAGGGCTCCCCGACTACGGTTCTTCCCTCATGGGAGGGTATTCGTTCGTCCCTCTCTAACTAAGGAGGAGAGAACACGTAGACGAGAAGTCCGTCAAGCAGGTTCTGTTTGTCTCGACAGTTCTGTAGTAAATGGATCTGAACGAGTCAGTTCCGCTGATAGGAGTGGTAATTGTAACAAATCTGATGCAGAAATCGTACTGAAAGCCACTTCGCAGGGAAACTTCTGATTTCTCGCCGGCCAAACCCGAGTTTCAAGTGCCTGCTATCGAACATCCGTTCCCTCGTCAAAAATAACGATTCTTTAGTGGTAGCATTACTTCATAAAAATTATGACCTGGTTCTGATCACGGAAACCTGGCTTCATTCTAAACACGACACAGATCCCTTATTAGGTATTGTGAACTCCCAATATGACGTCTTGCGCTGTGACCGCCTTTATAAGAAAGGAGGTGGTGTTCTGATTTTAGTTCGAAATTCCCTCTCTTATAATATTGTTTACAAGGATTCGTTGAAGGATGCTTATGAGATTCTCGTTGTTGATCTATTCGTTTACCAGTCCAACTTCAGGTTGTTTTTAGTATATCGTACCCCTCTGTGCAACTCGCAAAACTCCGGTCTCCTGCTAAAATTGATTAGTGACTTCAGTAGTGATGAGGCACCTTGTGTGGTGGTTGGAGATCTGAATCTGTCCGATATTGACTGGAACTGTGTTAGCCGCAGTAACCTTTCCACCACATCCAGAGAATTCATGGATATGTTTCATACGCATAATTTTGTGCAGTTTGTCAAGAAACCCACTCGTGGGTCGGCGTACCTCGACCTGGTCCTTTGCAATGATTCCTGTTTAATTGGTCAAGTTGAAATACTCCCTCCTATCGGCAGCAGTGACCACGCTTCTGTTGATTTCACCCTTAACATCAGCACACCCATGCTTGCGCACCGAAAGTGGGTGAGAGCTTTCAAAGAAGCCAATTATGAGGCTATTGGAAGGCACTTAAGTAGCATTGATTGGGTGGGGTGTTTTGATACTGCTAATTCCGTAAATGAGAAATACGAGCTGTTTCTTGCGGTCCTTCATGATACAATAGATCGTTTTGTGCCGCTTCGTCCCACTAAAGGTAGGCGAGTCAAATTGCCCCCTTATCTGGAGAGAATGCTTTGTCACCGTAGCCACTTGTGGTCGTGTGCGGTAGCCAATGATTGTGAAGCCAGTTGGAATACATATAAGGTTTTTGACAAAAAGTTGTGTAAACTTATAACTAAATATTTTGCCTATCTAGAAAAGAAAATTATTGAATCGAAGGACTCCACAAAGCTGTTTGCGTACATAACTAAACGCCTCAAAAATTCCAAAAGAATGCCAGCACTACGCACATCTGATGATAATGTTGCTAGGCTTGATGAAGAAAAGGCTGAGATACTTGCCAAGTATTTCCATAGTGTTTTCGTGGATACGAGGGCTGACGACGCTTTCTCTGTGGAGCCTCCTTCTTGTGGCTTGACTATGGGGCCATCACTGTGGTTTCATAGGGAGGAGATATTTGAGCTGTTAACTCAGTGGCCAAACTCTTATTCGGTTACATCAGACTTCATGCCTCTAAATTTCATCAAGAAAGTCGCATTTTGGATTGCCTTTCCTTTAGAGCTCCTTTTCAATCTCTCCTACATGCGCTCTGAAGTGCCTCAACGGTGGAAACACTCTTTTATTGTGCCAGTCCCCAAAAAGCCCCCTTTTTGCAGTCCCGCGAACTACCGGCCGATAAGCATTAATTCAATTTTTTCAGGCTTTTCGAAAAAATCGTAAAGCTCAGGGTAGTAGAATATCTTGAGAAGCACAGTATCATTCCTCACTCCCAACATGGTTTTCGTGCTGGAAAATCAACAGAAACGGCTTTGCTGAGTTCTTTTAATGATTGGTCGAAAGCTCTTGACCATAGGAAACAGGTCGATGTTGTGTACTTTGACTTTTCGAAGGCGTTCGATAGAGTGCCCTTTCATAAGTTGATTGCCAAACTGGAGTCCGTTGGAATCTACCCTCTCATTGTTCGCTGGGTTAAAGCCTTCATTTGCGGTCGCACCTACCAAGTACGTGTGGGAAGTAGGCTCTCCTCTGTGTATGAGGTTACCAGCGGAGTCCCACAGGGAGGGGTTTTGTCCCCTACCCTTTTTCTTGTTTATACGGCCGACCTCCCCAACAGGTTAGCTGGATTTCAGGTATCTTCCTTAATGTACGCTGACGACATCAAACTGTACAAAATTATCGAGAACACCGCTGACTGCGATGCCCTACAGGCGGCGATTAATGACATTGCAGATTGGTCAGAACGATGGGAATTACCCCTAGCCCCCGAAAAAACAAAAGTGTTCACCATCGGCAATAACAATGGCATACTGCGTGGTTACAAAATAGGTTGTGTAAATTTAGATGCTGTCGATCAAATAAAGGACCTAGGGTTTTCTTTTTCTAATAAGCTTACTTTCGATGCGCACTATAAAACTCTGGTCTCTAAGGCTAACAGTAGGATTTTTAATCTTTTCAAAACGTTACGTACCAAAAATCCCTCCGTCTTATTGAGAGCCTACAAATCCTACGTAAGGCCAATTGTTGAATCCGGTACTACCGTTTTCTCGCCATATAAGAAAAAGGATGTGGATCTTCTAGAAAGTGTGCAGAGCAACTTTACCAGAAAACTCGCTCTTCGTTGTCTGAAGTTGAGTTATGCGACGCTGCCCAGTGGTGAAGAAAGGCGCCGTCTGTTTGCGCTACCTTCTTTAGCAAACAGAAGACTGGTCAATGATCTAGTTATGGCTTTTAAAATTCTAACAGGAAGAGTGTCTGTACACTCCGCAGATTTTTTCACATTAGCCAGATCTAGAACAAGGGGTAGCGCTATCAAAATAAGGTCCTCTGTGGTTAGAACACAGGTCAGAGCAAAGTTTTTCGCTGTTAGAGTGCTGCCACTCTTGAATAAAATTTTTGATGAGGATACGTTGTGCTCCTCACTCGGGTCCTTCCGAAGTAAAGCTGTTAAGTCGGCCAATGCAGAGGTTTCTTGATACAAATCTTATACGATCCTCATGCGATTGATCGTTTAGGCTAATTTTACTTTGAATGTTCCCATTATATTTGTTTTTATATCTTCAGTTGTTTTTATATCTTCAAATGTTCTTTTTGCAATTCGTTGCTTTCTTCGGCGAAGTGGTTTTGATTTTTGTATTGTTCATTACCACGCAGCCTCACTGTGTCCAGAAATAAGTAAATAAATATATCACGGCAAATTTATGAGATGAATGTATGGATGCGTGCGCATCTCCATACGTTGCCAAGAGTGATACTCTGCTCAAACTTAATCACCCAGTACCTCGTGCAAATCCCTCACTCTCTTTATTGAACGTTTATATGAAATATTTACTAAATTTCGAGTGTTCAATATTTCCATCCTTATGTTTATTTTATCCTGTCAATTATTGTAACAATCTTATAGGAAACTAGTAGTAGAAGAAGGGAGGCCATTCTGAAGAAGAAAAGCTAAAGCATTACCAGTTCTTCTGTAGAGTTACCCCCCTACCCCTCTCCTCCTAGCGTTTTCATCCTCCGTAAGGAATCCGGTACCAAAAAGGAACGCGAATAGGAATATTCCTGCAGTGAAACATCTTAACAACTACCTTAATCTTTGTAGTTTTATCATATCTAAAGGAGTGCACGTTTTTTCGGTGATTTCCGCCTCATCGAAAAATCCACAGGGCTTTTTTCTCCTTAAGACCCTCAAAACAGATTCCATTTTTCAGAAAAAAATCCGTTTCCTGTATAAAAAAAATATTTTTCCGACGCATTATTCAACTTTTAAATCACGTCTGTTTAATTTAGTTGGATTGATCTTCCTATCTCGTTAATGCGCGCCATACGTAACCAGGCATCAACTGTGCTCAAGCTGGTTGAAGTTAGGCATTTACATCGCCCCACCCATCGCTCCACCCATTTCATCTATCAGATTTGTGAGGTGGGCGAATTTACGACAAACACACACCACACACTACACATGTCATCGCCCATTTGACATATGATTTAGATATGCGATACGCTACACACAGAACGAATATCGGTGCGGATATCCTCCGGGGCAAATATTCACGCATGGCAATTACGTATGCAAAGGTAGCGCTGAGCGGCGTCTTAATCGGCAAGATTACGCGAGGCAACTTGGTGTCAACGAATTGAAACTCGCGTCAAACATGTCTTTTCTGTTAAAACCGAACCGACAGCCTTAGGCGGAGAAATAGAGCTCCAGTGCAGTCAACCATTTTAATTCTCTTCTTTTTTCCTGCTCTCTCCTAGCTTTAGTCCTAGAGGATGTCTCCGTATATTGCGATAGCGCTCGCAGAGCAAGGGCTGCAGTGACGGACTGTCATCCAAAGCCTAACCGATTCTGGAGCAAAATTTCAGTACAAAAAATTTCAGAGAACAGGTTTTTCGCTAGCCGGCATGAATTGGGGTTACCTCAAGGCCTAATTAGGTTACTAAATCCCGAATGAAGAGCTGCTTTCTGTTAATGATCCGGCTGCAGCTAAGCTGGGCTGCAGAGCTGGTGGACCTTCCAGAGTCTGTTTTCAATAGCGTTCCGAATTGATTGCACCTTACAGACTGGATAAACAGAGGTAGCAGAAACTGAGGCGATAGCAGAAACTAGAGAGTGAGGCGAAAGGATGAAAAAGGTAGAGAAAAAGCGAAGATGAATGAGGGCTAGGCATAGAAGGATCAAAAAATTGGTGGCTAACGTAAAAATGCAGACATGGAAAAAGTTTGCTCATCAACTGCTTTGCTAGAGTCCGAATTCAGAACCAGTGAAATCTTGTCCTTATCAAAGTATACCATCCAATCCTTTGATTACTAACGAGTAGTTATCAAAGGCTGCTACCGAAAAAGGGCACAACTGTCCAAAATATATTGTTTGTTGTGAGAAAAATGAACGCGAAAGAGAGGAGAAAGGGAAAAATAGACTGAAGAAGTAAAGGTGATAAAGAGTAGTTTATTAATAAATAAAAGCAGATGAGGATAAATAAAGACAGGGGTGATAAAGGATGGTCAATCCTTTTCCGTGATACGCCATGCATAGATCCTGTCACCAACATTTGTGACAGATGTACGGCGGGAATTCGAAACGTGTGACGGTTCTTCAGGTTTTTTCCGCGTTGCCTAAACTCGTTTTGAATTTAGGGGATGAACTTCACACCCTATTCATTAAAACGTCACAATTAAATTCTCCTGTGATGATTAGGGGCCGTATGCTATCCTCCCCGAAGGGGTTGGGGGACGAAAAGTCCTTTAAATTTTCTCTGTCTTCCCAACTGGGATTGCCCTGATAAAGGACCTACATTTAATGTATGTATGTAGGTCAAAGTAAACATGCACTGAAAATGAAGAAACTATATCGTTCAAAACAACAGATCACCTAGCTTCGGGGAAATATAGCATACGGCCCTAGATCTCTTTTAAAGACTGGAACGCAAGGTGATTGTGCTCTCAGGGTTTCCAGGGCAAAAAATGTTTTAAAAAATCCTGGACACATGTCAAAAAAAAGTAACACTCACAACACATCGTCTCTGGTTTTCGGACAGGTGACACGTTCGGCAACGACCAATGAACACTTGTCAATCACCTGGCAATGAATTACTCATAAAAAATTATTCCATAAAAAAAAACAATAGTAAAAACGTTGCGTTAACTCGCGTCTCATATCCACGTATGGTGTGGGTGTGAACGTTTCTTGAGTGGTGGTAATGGTAGTGGTGGTGGTTGTAGTGGTGGTTGTGGTGTCAGTTGTGGTGCTTGTAGAGCTCGTCGATGGCTCCGTAGTTGTCACAACTCGTGGTTCACTTGTTGGCTCGGCCAAGGTGTCGGGTAGGATGGCTACCGTAGCTTTTCAGGCGTTGTGGGGAACCATCTAAACATCACGTTCGTTTTTTGCTGGTGATTAATCGTCCAAAAACAACATTACACACCAGCAGACGCCAAGAAAAACTTACCCGTCGGCGTGGAGGCTGCTGCGGTCAGCGTCGTTGATAGCCCCGGTTGTTGCCGGGTGTTGTAAAGGCCGTAACCGTGGCCGTCGATAGTATCACGGTATTGTGTGTAGTTTGAAGCGTACTCAGCATACTGCTTGACTGAGTGCGTTCGAACAAGAACATGAGGATCTTGTGGCATTCCGATGGATCGGTTTCTGGAAGTTCGACCACCCAAGAACCATGAACAAGCAATAGTGGCAGCACATAAGCAGAAAACAAGTACATGATGACGGCAAAGCAATAAATATAGTAAATTAGAACGGTTTCGGCCTTTTTTTCACATATCCGACATGACGTGCCGCTGCTGGGTAAAAGGAGAAAAGAGTCCGGCTACCTACGGACACGCCTACGTGGCCACGCCCCAGCAACAGACATTGTGCGCGGCCCTACCGACGCACTTACCGCACCACCTCCACTCTAGGCCCGCGTGAGACGGCCAGACAATGAATCAGCGTAGAGGGCTATCAAACCACAAGTGCATAGCGATAGGTCACAGTCGACAAAGCGGCCAAACATGTCCACAGGCGAACACGCGGCGCAGGAACCTGTGATTTGAAATAACGTGGGGCCGTGGTAAGCTAAAATTTCTAACTAGCACGGGACATAAAATAATTCCTTTTGGGTTATCGTCTACATTTTCAGAGTTACAGGTGAACAGTCTTTTAGCTCCACCCGCAGAAAAATGAATGTGTATTTTGTGAAGAGGTTTCAAGGGAGCGGGGAAAGGGAATTTATCTTATGTTAGTCAAACACCCGTTATAAAATTACGCTGGCCTATTTTTTATTCACACGCCAAGCAGTTGACGCTATTCGGAAATGTGTGGGAACTTCGAACGCTCATTGAGTCCGTACAATCACTGGACTAGGCCGAAACGTTCCATAATTTTGGGATCAAAGGATAAAGGATAAAGCATTTGCCGTTGATCAATCCCTTTTTGGGATGCGGCACGCATTCTACTTCCATTTGTACATTCGTAGTGGCGTTTGAATGCGATGTGGCCTATACAATGACTTGCGGGGCCAGCCGATGTACAAGTCAGTGTTTTTATCCTCCCAGACAAGTCTGGTACCAATTAACCGACCCCGGAGGGATGGAAGGCTTGGTTGGCCCGGGCGACTCACGACCCAGGATTTGATCCCCGGACCGCTCGCGTGGTAAGCGTGCCACTTGCCACTACACCACTTCCGCCCAAAAGCTATTGCTATTCCGAAATTAGGTCCAATTCGATACCGAATTCTAAAACTGCTTGATTTATAGTGGAGGAATCATGGGACGTTGGAAAGTTTTAAGGAAATGATCAAAATGGACGTGATTTGTTCAGCGAGTTATTTGTCGCTGATTAAGTCCAGTTTTTTTTTCTTACGTGGGAAATAAGAGTATTGGTGGGGATTCTCCAATGAAGCCAATAGCAGGGAGCTCCGACCACCGCTTTGTCATTGTTTACCCACATATTTAAGAGAGATGCAGCATAAAGTCATCCCAGCATGAATTTACTAATGAAATTGTAAATTTGTTGGGATTGAAGCAGGTTTTGACTTTGCAGTCAGATAAGTGCAAATGTGAGAACAAGCGGCATGCTCTCTTATAGCGCCGGAGAAGCGCAAAAAAGTCTTAGGTTAAGTATTTTATGGCCCTAATTCTCGAAGCTCGCCTCTAGATTGAGAGTTTGTTTTGCTCTCACCAAAGTTCAATTGTGGCAAGCTCGGTACAGTAAACTTTAATTCTCTGATGGTTAAGCAGCCATTTTCGTAGTTTGTCTAATGCTGAGTTTGGTGACAGCTGTAGGGCACTAGAATCGCAAACGACGACTTTGCGCCTCTATGCACTACAAAGGTGCTGAAATATTGCTCAGTTGACCGTGGAACGATGGGATTGGGGTATTCTTGGCGCGTTGTCAGCTCAGCTGGATGCCCTGCAGCTCCTCAAGCCAGTTAATAGAGTGATCGAATCGTTTCGGTTGATCTTCCGACGTGCGCCATATATTCGACGTCCGTTATATCGCAGGAAAAGTCGGTTGCGTGCCAGGCCAATGCAAAGAAATTTTTGGCAAACTAAGATGTTCAATGATTTTGTCAGGATTGACCACTGGGTCAGGATTGAACAGTTCAATAAAACCACATGAAAAAGCAATTGAAGCTTGGCGTTATGTATAGAGCGAATCCAAACCACTTGACCATCGTATGGCAGCGGTACCCACTTATATGTATTTCCCATCTCTGACGTTTATAAAAAAAAGACTAGTTTTTTATTGTTTTTGTTTCTGTTCTTGACTTGGAGCCACCCAATTTTGCATAAATAAATAGCAAAATGACAAAAATACTTTGGCAAGAGGGCTCGAACGTTTGTTTGAAGAGAAGCAAATCAGGTGTCGAGAAGAAATCACATAAGCTGAAAAGCACAGGTTACGGAACGTATTACGATAGCCTCGGTCCCATGCAAAAATCGCCTCGCAGAAGTCCGTAGTCCTGCAAAAAAAACGAGCTATAAAGCAAGACTTGTTGTTCCTTCAGTTGACGCTTTTCAGCAGCTCTCAAGAGAATTCGACGTATTTTTCAAGAGTACTGCCAACGGAAGCCTCCAGGGGGATCGGTCCTAATTTGTTTTGGGAGTCCTCACTCTACCTGCGCTTTTTACTTCAAGCATATGATGAATGATCGCGGGGATATGGCTTCTCAGTAACGAGTTATTCTTAGAGAATATCCAACCAAATCAATCAATTCATCGCCTCGAATCGGTCGTCTGACAAATGTCTCAGCTTTAGTGTAAACTGTAAACGGCTCCTCAAAGTGTTGGTATACAGTTGCCGGCCAAAGGCACCGCGCGGGTCAGCGCGAGGAACGGCTGTCAAACTCATCCGTCTAGTAAGGATCGGGCCTGGCCTTGATATTTTTGAGAAAACTTGGCTTTCTAAAAATTGATATAAGCTTTCAACAGTAAAATGGAGGTTGTCGACAGGTGAAGGGCTCATGAAGCGTCTGTGAAAAGCACCGATTAACCTACCCTTTTGAAAGCCTGTCGCGTTTTATAACCTTTCTGTTGTCCTTTTGCCGTGCTCGCTGGGCTATCACAGCTCGGTCGAATTTGGCCATGGCTTAACAGCCCACCGATGTAGATTCATACCGAACCAAGGACCATTGGCTTTCTTCGTCTTTGGGAAATTTGCCAGATTTAACCAAAACGCCCTGATCCAAAACCCGATTTTATGAAACAATCAATACAAGAGTCGCAATTTGGTAATTAAAAAAAAATCACAGTTCAAATAGGCCCATTTTCTGCAACTCAGCTCGCTTTGCGTTCGCTGCGCTCCTGAAGGTGGTACTGGTGCTCGCAGTTGAGTTCTGTAATTTCTCATGATTATTCGACGACGCTCCGAAAATAACATTGATTTTGTGAACGGGATCTCTGAACTTACTCCAAACCTCCCCTCTGCACTCAAGAAGTTCTTCCCCCTTAGGTGCCGAAACGCCAATGGAGAATATGCAAAGCCTCTACCCTGTTCTCACTGCTTTTTGTACAATCAGTTTTGTTCAGTATTTAATTTAATTTATTTATTTTCCGTATCACAGGGTTCCTTCATTATTATTATTCAGGCTGAAAGGTTGGTTTTGGAACTTAATGTTATTTACAGCACTTTTTTTTTTACTTTTTTTTCCGGGAGGTTGGATCAGAGGAGCAATCTCTAGGGTCTCCGCTTTACATGTGTACTACAAGCCAATGGTTAAGCCTTTTTGTACCGTAACTGGACACACATGGGCACACGCCGCAGTACACATCCATGAAAGCTCAATTTGATCCTCAGAGGTCATCGTAATCACTAAGAATTTTCAACAATCAATCAATGTGGCGCCGCTTACTCCAGAGAATGGGAAAACTCATTGGTCCAGGAGAAACTGAATCCGGTGTCTTATCCCGAAATATAAGCATGGTAAGTGGCTCCACTCGCTATCCCATCACCTCCAGCCAGCTGGCACAAGTAAGAGCCATTTGCTTTCGAATCCTAGCGGTATCTTAATGTAGGTCTGGCCTATAAAATAACTCGTAAAGACTAGCCGACGTACAGGTTGGGTGTTTTTACCCGTCCAATGACGTCGTACCAACCAGTATGCCCAAGAGTATGAACGACGATGTTGGCCTGAGAAGAATTTGTTGGGTTTCGGTTTCGGGCTGTGGCGAGCAGGTGGAAGGACTCTGACATTCCTTTACATCATTTCCGTGCTCTGACACAACTAGACACCCAAAAATTAATTCAGAATTACTCAAAGCTCTGGAAAAAAAGCCCCAGAAGTTCAAGTGCCAAAAGTCTTATCCACTTCTCACTATTTAAGTTGAAGTTCTATGATCCTAATTTTATTATTGTTCAATGTAAATTTATTATAGCATAGCGTACCTGCAGTAAATAAATAAATAAAAAAAATGAATAAATGCTCCAGTTTTTTTTTCAAGTCTTTAAGCTTTAGAAAAAGTGACAGAATACTGAACATGTAAGCTAGTTCGAGAAAGCCGCCTTCAATGTATAGTATATCTTTTTGGATGAATTTTGGCCGACCTATTCATATCATAAATGATAAAGATCAGCGATGTTCCAGGTTTATGGAGCAATTTGAAACAGGGCCAAGGGTTGGTTTAGCCAGACAAGCGGAGGAGGCCCACTTGCGATTTAGGGAAGAGTTTGCTGGAATTAGGCGTGTTCGTGGAATATATGGGAGTTTTTCAATAAGTAGAAAAATGAGAAATTTTTTTCGAGGTGTTTGCTTACAAGTTAGAGGAGAGCCTGCCGTTCCAATGTTCAGTAACAATTAAATAGTTAGCCGAAGGCGGAAGTGGTGTAGTGGTAAGCGGCGCTACTCATCACGGTTTGGAGATCAAATCTCGGGTCGACTTCGTGCAGATCAACCAAGCCTCCCATCCTCCCGAGGTCGGTTATGTGGTACAAGAGCTTATTGGTTCCGAATACCATGCCACCCCCTTTCTCCGGATAATTTTGTGGGCGGAGTTGGAAGAGTAGTCGAGCTAGCAATTCCAAGCGCATCCACAACACGTATCCACCGGGGTGGGAAAGAGATGGTCGTGTCGGAAAGTACGCCATAGTGCTTTCTATCAAATCGAACTGCCCTATTGAAGCGCTTACAACGCTTTACGGCTTTGTATGCGGTTCAATTGCAACCTTGTTTAATAGTGAATTCTTTGAGTGGCATTACCTTTTCGATGTAACATTACGAGCTGATGAGGGCAAGGATTGCCTCGAGTTTGGTGACCGAGAGCTGGGGGCTCTGGGCAAGAGCGCTGATTGGCGAGCAAGTGGTGACGAGAGTTCATTCCTTGTTGAGTTCGTCGCCGAAAGTCCAGTTCGTAGAAGGCGACGAGAGAACCCGCATCTGTTGAGGCGGAGTGTTCAAGTTCGTCAGGAAGCACGTTCTGGAGAAAGGAATGATAGAATTTGGCCCATTTAAACTTAAGCCACCATGCCGCATACAAAAGGCCAATTTTGGGTTCAACTACGACTTGATTTTACTGTTGTTAGCCAAAAAGGAAGAATTTCACTGAAATGATCAACAATAAGCTCCTCCCTTTTTTGACTTTCTGGTGAGTGTGGGAGCAACGGTCGAGAGCGGTGAGAGAATCCGCAACATGGAGAAGAGAAGCATCAATGGTAGTGAGGCGCAGACATTGCCACGGTGAGCATCGGAAATATTCACAAGATGTTTTGATCTCACCCACCCGCATGTTTGCTTACAATTCTCCCACATATAGGCCTGGTTAGAGTTGCACAGCCCTTGTCGTCCCCAGCCAGCACAGTTCGTGCTGAAGTCAACGCAGGCTGAAATACGTCCATTACGTTCGTTGAGTGATGATAAGGAAACAGTGATGAAATAGTATCAAAAAATCTGAAAAATGATTTTGATGAAAAGGGTTCCAACGGTTACCAAACGTTTTGTGGTGCGCCACGCTTTTGACTATCGGTAAAACGTGTTGGGAGGTTCGCTGCTATTTGTTTCGAGCATTTAAAAGGTGGATTTGGCCTGTTTCATTGTCCAACCAACCATTATGCGTTACTTTTGAACAAGTTGCGTACATAAATCGAGCAATCCTAGAGTAAATAGAAGCTTCCTCGGTTTGAACAGGATTCTGAATCAGTCAGTGAGGGAGGGTGAGTTAGGTCTCGAGGAAATTTGGTCAACACCACCACCCCAAGACAGCCAGAACGACTTTTCAGTCAAGGTCCCACAACTTTCCTTTTATTTTCATCTAGACTACTCTCCCACCCCCACCCCCCGGTCCCATCTGAAGGTTGCACCTGCCTTCCCCCGAAAAGTGAGTGTCGCCGTTGTAGAGCGCGGTGGAGGGAACATAGCGAAACCGATGGAGGGGGTGGGGGGAAGTCGAAATTCTCTTGAATTTCTCGAACTTCGAAACGTCAAACTTTCTTAAAAAATAAACATTCCATTGCTCTGAGGAGAAGCCGCTTCCAATCTCTCTGAATGACACCCCCAGAAGTACACAGACGACTCTGAATCGAGGAATTCCCGGCATTGGCTCGCCCTGGCCTAAATTCGTTCTCCGGATCCTGCTTGTAGTGAACTACTGACCACCGCCCTACATAGTCCTTGCCAAGCGCTTAACAGAGGTCCTTGTTAGACTAATGCCCTCACTAAAGTGACTGCATAATTCAGAGCTATCAATGAGCCCCAGATAAGCATGAATGGATAATACTTACGAAGCCCTAACACTATCAAACCAGGGTCAGTCCTATCGTTGTTACTTTTTCAAAAATTTTTACGACCCCCCTCCCCCAAGGTGGACTTTGGTACGACCCCCTTTTCGACACCTCGACCACCATATTCCTCTCTATAGTATTTAATTCTGGTACCACTCAACCCACCAAACTCCGCCCACTTTTTTGAAACTCAACCAGGTACGACCCCCGTGTTTACTAGTAAAAACGTCAGGTTGACCCTGCCCATAACTGATCAGGATCTTTTGGGCACCCTATCAAAATCGCACACGCAGATCATAGGGCCATGGGGAACACTATAGGTGGTTTTGGGTGTGACATACTCGTTTCCCTCAAATCCTGCATATTTCACTCTCGACGCTCGGGCTAAGGTGAGTGCCCACGGTTGCGACTCCTATGACTAGGATTTACGGTTTTACGAGATGGGCAAAAGCCTAGCAGCTTCAATCTTCCCTGGTTGTTCGTTGCTGCAGACAACGAGACGGTTTCCTAAAGAAACTCCTCAAAAGGCTCACTCTGCGAGTTCCAGAATGGATTTGGTGATGATCCACGGCACTGATTGCATGGAAGGCGGGCAGTACTGAGCCATGTATGCAGCCGAAGTGGTGCAGTAGCCTCGGGCTGCCCATGCCAGGCAGCAATAGTGCTGGTTTATGCAGGTGCCGCCACCTGAAAAGCAATCGGGAATAGGTTTCTGCCTTTCCCGAAGACTATTTTTGACCACTTTTGCAAAAAAATGAACCATCTGCACATACCTGATGGAGGCTTGGGTCGTTGCAGGAGGGGATGGTGTATCTGAAAGGTTGGACATCATTGAAATTTCTGGTCTACGTTGGCTGGCTGAAATCGTGGGATCTCAGCAGCTTTACATAGTAATTTGTGAACCAAATTTTTGTTGGGTAATGAATGCCGAGCACGAGTCATATTTCTGGAACAAAATTGATTTTTTTCCCAAACGATTGAGAATGTTCTTACTGGAACCACCACCGCCGTAGCACACTTGCTGTCTGGTCGTGCCACAACGATTGCATGCCTGTCGACAGTTCTCGAACATCCATGACGGGTTGTTGGTGCATTCACCGCGAGCCGCCCATGTAGCACACATAACGGCTCTATTAGAGCACTCTGAAAATTCGTCCATTTTAATGGTGGAATTTTTGATGGCCACAAAACGATATTTTCATCAATACAAGCATTCAATTGACTAGTAGTTCATTGATGAAGTGGAGTATCTCCTAACCCCCACCCCCACCAACTTTCAACCTTTTTGCAGATAATTCAATCCCTCAACTAACTCTTGCCTGGAAGCACATCCTACGATCAATTGGTTGTCCTTCCCAAAAACGGAACAGGATGAGACTTGTGCCAATGAAGAAAAATATAAACATCAAAATTAGGGGCTCCTATTAGGAAGAATATACGAGTAGCTACTAGGTGCTGCTGCGGGAGAACATACGAGAGAGCATGGCGGACGAGCGAGGCGCAGACACACCACTGGGACCGTTGGATTATTAGCAAAAGGGCCAACGCCGCTCATCGACCATCATGACGATACCATAGCCCCTGTTGCACACTTCCGAGCAGCAAGAAGGGCTCTTTTTACCTCTCGTAAACAATTATACCCGCCGGGAGAGGTTGATCCAGTTGGCTCATCGGTGACTGCGGCCTTCAGGATTCGCACAAGAGCCGCCCTTCTATAAGCTGCTCGAACCGCACGCACAAGACGCCCCTACTGAATTCCCGTCGCAAGGGCAGGTATGGCACCCAACGAGGAAGGTCTTTCAGGGTGTGCCAAGCTTTTTCAAAACGGTCTTTTGCATGATATAGAGGCACATGCGGGAACCACAGAACCATGGTTAATTTTTCCTGAACGGCCTCTGAATACCAGAAAAGGGGGTCCCTAGTCACACCTTTTTCACCAGTTTTTCAATCAAAGTCTATTTGTAAGGGTTACTGACGGTCCTAATCATGAATATGGTACTAATTATTCATGCTAACTCCATTTTGCGCGAATTTTGAAACGTCAACTCGAAATGCAAAAATTTGTCACCACGAGGAATCGAACTAGGGACCCCCTTTTCTGGTATTCAGAGGGCCGTTCAGGAAAAATGAACCATTCTTCCCTGTAAGGCAGCTCAACGTCGTTGTATGCATGATGACGTGATCAGGCGCGTGCGCCACGCATGTAGGGCATGTTTCGTGCTCGGTGACGGCTTTGTGGCGGTCACCCAGCCGTTCCGGCAGACGCCCACTGAAGTCAGTAGAACAAGGGTTACGCTCAAGGATTTTCATGTCTCCTTTCCAAAGATTTTGTTATTGCAAAAAAATTCCCCTTCTTAGCGATTACTTAGCTGTTTAAACCATAACAACTTTCCTTGTCGCGCATGAGCCGGTCGAATTGAGACGCGAGCGGTCGCGATGCGGACGTGGTGTGGCTGGATATCGGACCAATGTGCACAATGCATGCTTGCGCTCTCATGGAGCGATCAGAACTGCAGTGAGTGACTTCGGTACCTTCTCTATCGTCGTATAACACACTTATTTTTTAACCTCAGCAAAATTTAGCGCAGAACCTTTATGAAGCCGTGTTTAACTCCTAAACCGACGGTCAGCGTTGTAAGTTAGTTTGGTCGTCATATATCCGCAGCCTTGCTCTTGCCACCACAAGGTCCATGTACGTTGGTTGTTAGACATTCACCATTATTGCCCATGGGCACAACTTGCTGCTCGTTTGAAGTCACGTCAAACCAGTTCTCAATCAATCAATAAAAATCGAATAATGTTCTGTGCATAAAGGCTACGCGTAACCTCTGGTGTCCGGCTGTGTAAGTTTGTCAATAATGGGTGGCTTGGAGGTTTGTGGTAGGGTTGCCTAAAAATAACAAATCAATCACTAAATCGATTTCGGATCACGGCTGCGCTAGTGCGTCTACAGCGAACCAGCTTACCGCCGTTTCTGTACGCATCGATTACCCTGACATATGCTACGATAGCAGCGATCCTCATCTGTCAATTATTGATTTGAAATATTGATTTTTTTCGAAATGACACACTGCACTTACTGTTGAAGTATCCTCCACAATTGCCTCCAACTGCAATTTTTGCTGCGCAACGTGGAGCACCGTGTGAGAAGTCACAGAAGAGGAACCTAGGAAGTGTCCTTTGTTGTCTTGTACATCCTCGGTAAGCGCCGTATTATTAAATACAGATGTAATGCCGTCAAACGAATTGATTGCGTGTCCGGTTCCCACAATTGTTTTACTGCTAAATAAGCAGTGCCATTATATCTCACTTGTTTTGAGCAAGATTAAATAATTAGTATGATTAGGGTGACTCAGCTCTACCCACCGTCATTTCCTCGTCCTTTGGGAGCTTTTGTATCATAATTGCACTCGATTTCCTCTGCGCGGCTCGTCCATTTAGACCATGCCCCTCCTACGTGGCGGGAGTTCCTCATAAGTAAATATGCTGTAGAGTGCGTATGCCTTAATCCTAGATGCCTGTTTTTTACAGTCTTCTGGGATGTTCTGGAATCAAAAAAGTGATTTTTACTTAATTGCAATTGGAAGACGCATGCCCCTCCCATTTAAAAGGCGAGTTGCTTGAAGTTATTACGCCCTTATAGAGCGACTCATGCTCTACGCCATTGCAACGTTGACCCGCCCTTTTTAGGTGATTCTTGAAGCAAAATTACAAACATCTGGGGAATATTTGCTAATTTTGGGGAGTCGACAGACGAACAAACTCTGCTTTATGTATGAGTATGATTACTTTTTACTGTTCTATTCTGCGATGCGAGTCGATTAGGAAGGCTGATGAGGGAGATTATCAGTGCCCCCAAGCGCCCAATCCTGGCGCGCGCAAGGAAGACACAGGAGCGGCGATGGACGGGTCCCAGCGTGCGTGCTATGCGTTATGCCCGAACGTATTATGGACCTCTAGTTAATCTAACGCCGAACCGCCATCTCGTCCTTTACTGCGTCTGCGTCTCCTTCCTTCGCCGCGCGATGGGCCTCTTCGGGGGACACCCGGGATTTCTACTTGGAACGGAGTCGAGCCCGTGTCCAGTCTTCATGAACATCTGATTTATCCATTACGTTAACATGCATTTGATCTGGTATGAGTTAGGGGAGGATAGGGCAATGTCGTGCAACAATCCCCTTGTTTTATTGAATTTAGACCGCTAATGTCCCAGCCAGCAATTACCCTCCCTCGCATAGTTTCTGGCTATTGGTATACGCTGAAAATGATGATACCTCCAAGGAACTATTCTGTGAATTGCTTGAGGCCCAAAAAGTCGGTAATGGCCGAGATGTTTTGGTAGGAGCTGAACCAGGTAAGTAAACAAGCCCTTTTGACGTTTTTGCTGGGGCCGTATGCTGAATGTTGGGAGGGAATGGGGTCCACTACGGGACGAGGTAAGCATCAAATTGAGGCGGTCTAAAGTAGTCCGTCGACCTCGGGGACCCCATCCCCTCCCCAACATTCAGCATACGGCCCCAGCAGAAACGCCAAAAGGGCTGGTTTGCTTACCTCGAATCTGAACCATTCAAATTATTCTGTCTTGAGAACCTTGCTTTTGGTTAGTACTGAACTTATAGTGTTACGCGTCACTCTTCATGAAGAAGGAGCTCACCGTGATCCACATCCTGCTGGATTTCCTCCCGAACATACTGGGCGCGCTTGGAATGTGTAGAGATTATCTGAACATTCATTTCAACTTTCATAGCAAGTCCCGCGATCAATTAAATATTATTATTATGCTCGAAACTGAAGGTGAAGGTGCAAAGTAGATCGTCAATGGCGAAAAAAGCAAAAATTATTTGTCAAAACATTGAAAAGGTCTCTTCGTTCAAAAATTTGGCGAGTTTGCGAGGAAAAACACTGAGCGCAAGAGAGCATGGGGACGAACGAGACGCAGACATCAACACGTTTGCAACGATTCAGGTGTACCGAGGCAACTCTCATGTCAAACGCGCCTTCGTCACACATTTTCATGTCGCGGAAGTGGCACCACCGCTGCAGCCGCTCACCAAACTAGCTACC